AAAAGGTTGGATCGTATGTTCGTATGGACCCGTAGTGGTCTAATAGGATGAATTGCCCATCAGTGTAGTATTGTACTTGAATTTCTGAACTCTCTTTTACAGTTTAATTTATCTGTTACAGTTTCACATGATATGACGTTTTGCTGACATATATGTATCAACTGCTCATTTGGATTCTTGCCCAATCATGCTAAATTATACTATTTTCAAGCTCGTTTGCTTGGAAATTAAGATATTCTACTCAACTGTTGATGCTCACCCTACGTTACTTTACCTTTTTTAGATGTGAGAAAGCAGATAGATGTGTACATAATAACCTACCAAGGTTTTCTGTATATCTTAGGAAGTTGTATCAAAAGTTTGTAATAAAATAAAAGAAAAACTAATATGTAACATATACTTAATTGAATAATAAGTTGTAATAGTTTGTAATATGTTAGGTTAAAAGTTTTGCATATGTTTATACAATAATCTGTGGTTTGTAAATTATGGGTTATTATGCTATGCTACGTGACTTCTCAGTATTATAATATTCCGTGGATTAAAGTAACACCTGTCACATGCCGAGCCAATTCGGGGTGTGACAGTTATACCAAAATACACACACTACTGCAGTAAAATACACACACACAATATTACACCAAAATACACACACTACTACACCAAAATACATACATACACGCACATACATACTATTACACCAAAATACACAAATATACTATTACACCAAAATACACACATCAAAATAAACCCACACTAATCAACCAAAAAATATATACACACACAATCACACCAAAATAAACACACATCAAAATACATACATACATTTACACTATTACACCAAAATCCACATACTACTACACTAAAATATACACACACAATATTACAGCAAAATTCACACACTACTACACCAAAATACATGCATACATGCACATACATACTATTACACTAAAATACACAAACATGCTATTACACCAAAATTCACACACACTTACACCAAAATACATACACACCAAAATAAACACACACTAATCAACAAAAAAATATACACACAGTGTCGCACACGCAGTGCTACTCGCAAACACACAATCTTGATACAATGTGACATACAAACACTTACACATTGACAAAATAAAAACACAAACACAATTACTGTCCTATCGCATAGCATATTTCATACTAATAATTCACAGCAATCCTTCATCATAACAAGAAATAATCCAAAAAAAGATACACATAACCATAGCACCATGTCTCCTTATCATTTAATACTCACAAATTGGACTCCACACCAACTTCCCAAGATTCATTCCACGTCATTTGAAGAGCCATCAAATCCAGAAATTAATTTCTCAATGTTAATTGCAAGTTCCTCCTCCTCATCTAAATCTTCTTGAACTGCTTAAAGTAAGTGCATAACATTAACTTCTAATGTTGTAAATCTCAAAACAATTAATTATAATATTAGCATGAAATTGCAAGAGTTAATTTTACCTTCTAAACCATGTAACCAATCTCGAGTGCATAATAATGCCTCTACATTCTTCGACAAAATTGAACAACAATATTTTTCAATGATACGACCTTCAATACTAAAAGCTAATTCTGAGGCAACTGTAGTAATGAGAATGCTCAACACATCACGGACCATCAATGAAAGCTCTGGATATCGGGTTCTATTTGCTTTCCAAAAACTTAGAACATCCAATTGCACATTTTGTCTTCGATCATGTAAAAATTCTTCGAAGTATAGATCTAACTGTGATTTATTTCTATTCAATCCAGAATGTTCTCTCTCAACTAACTCAAACTCCTACATTAATATAAACACAATATATAAGAAAATTACTAATAAATCTATGAAAGTATAAATATGACAATCAGTGATGTTACTTACATTCATTTCATCTTCATCTACTTCACTAGAAGCATTTCTCATTGTCGATGGATTAGTTGCAAAGGCGGACGGGGAGAAACACTTGTACTCTTGAAAGAGTGAATGCAACTTCATCCGAACACTCCTTATCTTTTCTTCACATGTTTTAGGATCAAGCTTTGCAAATGCAAATTCAACAAACTTCAACTTATAACGATGATCAAGCACTATGGCAAAGGAAAGCACTATGCTATAACAAATCCCAATACTTGTCAAATTTCCACTTTATTTGTTGTGCCATGGAACTTATAACTTATTTGGACTATTCAGTTCCTTTAGGATGAGTGTTTGAATTTTCCATATGCTACGAAAATACAAATTTGAAGTGGGATATTGACTTCCTGAAAACAATGTTGTAATGTCATTAAAAGGTTTGAAAAACTTTACTATCCTTTCAACCATGTTCCATTCCTCTTGTGATGGACATGTTTTGAAGTTAGTATCAATCAATTGCAATTGGCATAACACCTGACGATATAATAAAGCACATTCAAGCATAAGATAGGTTGAATTCCATCTTGTTGGCACATCTTGGCATACTTTCTTACCACTTTTTATGGACAATTGTGCAATGCATTCTGCAAACTTGATCATCCTTCCCTCTGTACCCCTAACATATTTGACACTTTCTTGAATCTAATAGACAGATCCATCAATCATTTTCAAGCTCACTTGAACAATAAGATTCAAGATATGCGCACAATAGCATATATGAAGAAATTCACCATCACATATCAAAACATTTGTTAAAGAAAGATGATTCTTCAACAAATCAATCAAACCATCATTATACTTTGCATTATCCAATGCATGTTTAAATTATTCTTTCTCCCTTTTATAAGCTTTCAAAATGTCCAACTTTGCGGTGTTTCTTGAGATTGATTTCACATCTGGATTCAAGAAATTATCCAACTCTCTTATTCCTTCATGTTCCACGAAGTTAAAGGGGTAATTATGCTTGATTGTGACATCAGAAAGCTTCTTTTTATAGACATCTTGATCAAAAGGTAGTTGTGGCGCCAACTCATTTGTGTCATGTTCAGGAAAACAAATTTTGAGATGTCGCTTCAAATTGGATGTTCCGAACTTGAAATCTGTCATATATAGTTGGTCACACTTTGTACACCTAGCCTTTTGTCTCCCCTCACTTTTAACAGGTAATTTCTCAAAAATATTCCAAACTATAGAGCAAGACTTTCTACCTTGTTTTCCAGTGATGGAACTTTCTTCACCATAATCAACATTATCTTCCCTTATATTATTCTTGAAGACATGACAGCCTCAATATGAATCTACACCCACAAAAATGAGCATTACCCAAACAAAATTATTGTAAAACAAGTCGTGGAATATGTCGTAACAAATTTCTTAAAGTAAGAAAATCTTGACATACCCAAACCTCAATGAAAAGTAACATAAAAGCAAAAAATAGATGGCAAAACCAGAATGGAGCAAGATCATTGCAATTTAAACAAAAGTCATTCAAGTATTATAATTTATCTTTACCCATGGTAGACCTTTTTTGGACAAATTCTATCATTTAAGCCTTTAATTAATATTTTTAATTTATTATTTGCTGCAACTAATTTCTATTTAATTTTCGTCAACTATCGAGAATTCTGAAAAAGAAAGAAGTAATGTTTTACTAGATTAACTCAGTTTTTTTTTTGATTCACCATGCATACACATATGGGCATACACAGTTGGATGCTAATGACCGATGAGTGATAAGGCTACTCTGCCTATAGCTAGACATATATAAATAGAAAACAATCAGTTATTGCTAATAAGTTGGTCCATTCCCAATATCTCTAGCAAATGGACATATCATAGTCCAGCCCCACCCTTTTGCACTCCGCTTCATCTACAGATTCAATCCTAAATAGTTTTTGGGCATTTTATCAAACACGTTGTAGGCATGTCCCAATTGGTCTTTTAGCCAAAAAGTATAACTCAAGTAATTCAATATCCAATCCAAGAGAAACAAAACTAATGCTAACAAAGAGGTAGAAAAGGAACAAAACAAGAAAGTGGGGCATTTGATGTATCGAGACAATGTTTTGGGAAATTTCAATAAATAAAATTGGAGGTAACTCACTTTGCAAGCCTAAATGATGAAGAGATGCAAGATTCAATAGCCGAATTCCAATTCAGAGTAGTCAAATTTCAGTCGGAGCAATAGTTGTTGTTAAACAAGCAATGTGTAGTCAATAGTGAAAGATTTGGCTTTTATGTCAAGAGACTCCATAGGAGTGTAACGGCTTGAGAGGTGGGCCTGGAGTGTGTATTTATGATTCATTAGATTTTAAGAAAGAAACCCAATGGATACCTATATTAAACCCGATTTAACCCATAAATTTAAATTAAATAATAATACCCAACCCATTTTTAACCCAAATTAATAAAAACAGGTACCAAACTCATTAATTTATGGACGACTTAGTGGGTTGTGGGCAAGAATTGTCACCGTTACTTCAAATTTTCAATCCTTACAACTTTTTATTGTTCTATTTTTCTATCATTACCAAACGGAGCATTAACTTTGTAACATAATTGGGCTAAAATCAGAAAAGCAGCTTCTGTAGGGTGAAACCTAAAAGATCAGACCTGTACCAGCAAATGCACCTGATTTATGAAGTAATGCAACAATGAGAAGCTTATGCACAGTAAGTTTTTTTCTCAGAAATGTTGCCGTATCGGCATGAAGACAAAGTGTTCCTCTGTCCATCAAATATTTGGAAGAAAAATTACAATTAAAGATAGCAGATACGGCTATAAAACTGCTGCAGATCCCTGCACCACCACAGAACCATGGGTGCTAATCCTACTTCAATGAATCCTGACAACCGTTAAACCCTGGTTACCCTTGCAAATTCACAGAATATTAACCGATGTCCTGCAAGATTTCGGCTGCTGAAATGACTGCAGTTACAATTGGCAAGAGTTTGAAGAGCACCATCAATCAATAGCAGTTCTATTGCAATGGGCATCCGAAATTTCACCACATCAGCCACCAATTGTCCACTTAAGAGAGTGGGACAATGGTCACAGGAAACAAAGAGCCTCAGCACCTCCTTATGATACGTCCAACATTTTTCCCGATCTCTGCTTTTGTTTGCTCACACACAGGAACCTCTCCAATGTACATGTCAAAGAAAGCCCCTGGAAATACACACACACACACACTCTCACAGGTAAGTACTATAATTTGTCCAAATAAAGTTACTATAATCTTTCTCATTTCTTCTACGATTTCATAGAACGTACTAAAAGTCTTTGTCCATGCACTGTTTCTCAAATCTACAGATAAGTAAAAATGTGCCTAAAAGGTATAAAGAAAAACTGAAAACGGTAATTGCTTACTACACAGATCTTTGCTATGGACTGCTCCAATCTGATTACCTCCAACTGCACAAGTAAATTTTCCATTGTGAGTGTGTATGTGACATTATAAACCTAGAAATCTGAAGAGTCGGATCATTCCTAGTCCTCCTCTCAAGTAGCAGAAATAGTGAAACATTTAACAAGAAGCGAAAAAAACAGAGTGCCACTAAAAGGGCACAGCTAAGACGGGGCAAGTGGGGGGTGGCATAGACACGCAATGCAAAATTTGGAGTATACTAACTTTCAGTAATCAGGTGTCCATCACCTGTTCGGCGGAAGTCAATTGTTGTTCCCTGTAGACTTTTAATTTGAAGTCAGATGTCATTCATGGTGCCGGATATTACATACAAATAAGAGATTGACATGTTCAAGAATTTATTACCGAACGTAAAGGGATATCTTGTGAGAAAATAGAACCAAAGGTTGTTAGGCAGCAGTAGTCGGTTTCTGGGTTTGTCTAAATACATATTGCCAAAAGTCAGCATTTCTTATTCATGACCAAGGAAAATCTGTTGTAAGAAAATGACTTACTTTTATTAATCGGGCTCTAAGGGATTTCTCAAAAGCACTGCAAGAAACAGAGATAAAAGACATTAACCAAGGATATAAACACTTTCAGCACAATTTTCACAAATTGGGTCCCTCGCTGAAAAATGAGATTGTCAATAAGCTGAGCCAAGCAAGCATTGACCTGGCCCCGTAGATGCTCAGACCGGTTGTACATGTCATTAGAACTTTAGAATTTGTAAATACAAGCCTTAAGCATCAATCAGTTAGAGAGAATTAGACCTAAGAAACACACACAGAGATTCCAGTTCTTGGTCCCAATGCCTCGGACAAGATTCCTCTCCTTGGAGTAATAGAGATCCCAAGCAAAGTAATGATTGACATTCATCAACTTCCGTGTGTCGTCATATATGCCAATCCAATGACTATGATAATTATATTCGATATGTACTGAATGCCATTGCTACTTTTTCATAGATTAGAGAGACAGAAACAGAAAAAGCAAAAAGAAATGGAAGATCTTCTGGAGTACATTAGCCATGCATGACTTCTAAAATCCCTAAAGACATTTTAATTCCCCCATCACCCCCCGCCCCCGAAAAAAATAGTGGTCAAAAAGGTTGGGGGGGGTTAAAGAAAAAAAATAATTCTGAAGATGGTGTCAACCAAAAAAGGTAACCTATGCCATTATCTGCAGAAAGCAACTAAGAGGATAGCATCAACAAATACACCAGAATAATATGCTGGAAACAATATCAACCAAAACTTTTGAAGTAATTGAATCCACAGCAGATTCAACTAAGTAATCATTACTGTGGACACAAAAAAGTTCCTGAGAATATTCTTTTTTTTTTCTTTCTAGATGAATGAATATGTGGAAGAAGATATCTATCTTACTCTTTAACGGTACTGATTTTGATCCCATTGCAATTAATCACAAGCCTAACAGTCATATTAATATCCTCCCTGCAGCATTCACATCAAAGACAGAATGAGGAAATGATGAAAAAGATTCACCTGTGTTAAAACAATTCAATAATAAAACCATAGTATTTGGATTTCAATCTATTCCAAGTTTGATTTGGAGCACAAACAGTTTGAAATTTCCTACCCTACTTACACAACAACTTCAAGACCACACCAATCTAATAGTACAATAGGCAGCCAATTGAATCATAAACGCCAGAAATTAAAGTTGTCAAAAAAGTATGAATTAATCACCAGAGGCATCAACTCAAGCAGCATAATCAGCACTTTTGATTAATTAGGTTCATGTCAGAAGAGAACAACGATAAACAAATAGCACAACCATGGAATCCCGCCTCAAGCCACTCATTATATTGTAACAATGATAGCACAAAAACCTTTCAAGTTTAATTATTAGATGATATCTATCTTTAGAAATACCATTGTTTCTGGATATTGTTAGCATTGATTTAACAACAGATTATTTACTTGAACAACAACTCAAAAGTTATACCAAACATATTTCAGAGTCAGAGAACCTCTAAGGAGACTGCGGTCATTCACTAAAAGTTACATGTTCCCTGTTTAATTATATAATTCCCATTTTAGGAGGCGATAATACACAACTGAACAAATGATATTCCTTGGTGACAAACCATACTCCACTTTCAGAATCTATTTTTTCCTTTTTAGTGGGTCTAGCATTTCCAGAAGCTCTGCTCGGGTATATGCTGATCCTCTTTCACTCGACTTCCTGTAGCTTTCTAAAAAAAATCCTTTTTTGTGCATTGTTCAAGGAAATGAATGCACTAGATAGCTCTTTATCTTTGTTCAAATTTATATTGTAAACCACATAAGATCCTATACAGAATGAAGCCGCAAAAAGTTGATTATCGTCCGATTTGACAATATAAAAAAACATGTGATCAGCCACAACAATCATGAAGAACAAGGAAAATATAAACCGCAATGCACGCTACTCCAGTCCACTTTTGCTGGTAAAAGCTATTAAGTGTAAGCCAGGCAGTGGAGAAAAACTACTCGAGGTCAACTGATTAGATGAAAGAGGAACAAATGCCTTTGAAGAGGCTTGGAGCTTCCACTCGTGTCTTCATTTAATCCATTCAAAGACTGGAGGAAGCTCTTTAATGTCTTACCATAACAGAGAAATGAGAATATCAATCTAGTGAACAGCAGATATTGGATCACATTGTAGAGAAGAGAAAGTGTATTGAAACCACTGCACTAGTATTCTTCCTAGTTAACCAACACAATTAATTAAGCAAGAAATATACAGGGAAGCCCATATCCGAGGCATTCCCTTTTGATTCTATATGATTTTGATGCTCAAGGTTATCAAGAAGCAACAAAAGGAAAGACAGGCAGCCAAAAGAAGTCGNACAATTAATTAAGCAAGAAATATACAGGGAAGCCCATATCCGAGGCATTCCCTTTTGCCTCTATATGATTTTGATGCTCAAGGTTATCAAGAAGCAACAAAACGAAAGACAGGCAGCCAAAAGAAGTCAGCACTAAAAGAAAAAAAGGAAGAAGAATTTTCTAGAAAGTAAAGTACAGTTTACTTGGTTAAATAAGCATCTAAACTACCTGAGAAGATCCTCATAAAACTTATTGTGCTTGTTCAATTCACCAACTGGAATAGAAGCATACTTCAGACCCAATTTCTCACAGACATCATATGGATGAATGTCTGAAAAATTCAAAAGAAAAATGAAAAGAAAAATGAAAACATTAAAATCTTGAGGATGGGTTTTAGAGGTAAAGNGACCCAATTTCTCACAGACATCATATGGATGAATGTCTGAAAAATTCAAAAGAAAAAAGAAAAGAAAAATGAAAACATTAAAATCTTGAGGATGGGTTTTAGAGGTAAATACAAGGAACTCTGGAAGACCGAGTGAATTCAGAAATACTTACAAAAACCGAATGCATAGACCTTCAAGGATTTAATTCTGATAATTGTCATTGTTCTTGATCCAGTTCCAACAAGGACCTGAAATAAGAAAGTTATTCATGACCGGTCATCAACATAGAACATTACGGGCTCCTACAAAAGAAGAAGGCATACTGCTTATGGGGATAAAAATGATGTATATTCAATTATTGTCTCTCCCTCTATCAATGAAAAAATAATCAAGGTTCACAACAGAAGAAAACACAGTGCTAGTATGCGGATACAAATAACTTATATTAAGAACTTATGCCATGATATTACGACCATGTTGAATAATTAACTCAATCCAATAGAAACTGTATCACCCAACAACAAGAAGAAATACTGTCTGTTGCACCAAAACTTGTATTAAAATATGGTGCACCTCAAATACATAATCAACATAGCACATTGACATCTAGATATTATACAACACAAATATACAGTAACCAAGTNTAGGCGTTAGGAGCCTTGGTCGCTTCGGTTCGCTTTACGCCTTAAATAACACTGATGGTGCACCTCAAATACATAATCAACATAGCACATTGACATCTAGATATTATACAACACAAATATACAGTAACCAAGGTGCTAGTCAAAATCTAGGAAGTTTCATAAAGTCTATATATAACTTTATCATTTGACCCAAAAAGGCATCTTTCTCCCCTTCAAACAAAGATTATTAGACCTGGTCATAAAATATGCAAATGCAGTTGAAGAATAAAATAAATAGAACAAAATCCTTTTTAGGAATTCTCAACCATTAGAATTGTCACGCCCAAGCCAAGATGTATGATGGACGAACTTGGTATGAAATCACATAAAACGGTGAAAATTATAAATATCCAAAAGAAGTCAGAATTGGGCAAAACTGAGGCTTGTTGGAAAGCCCTTGAAAAGATGGGTATTTTAGTCAAAACCACACACCAAGGGGGTGTCTCATGTGCCTTTAGGGTGGGCTGGGGTAAAAAAACACTGTTCATCATTTTCTTGCTATAGGCCGGTCATTTTTTACCCGAGATACCCTTTTGATTTTTTTTTTTGATTTCTCTCTAGTTCCTCAACTTTTCTAAGTGATTCAAAAGCCAGAATCTGTCTTTGAATCCTCTCGTTGTTACTGTCAAGTTCTAGTTCAATCCATTGCTCAGAACTCAAAAATCTGACCTCCAAAGTTGTGACTTCCGTAATAGAAATTCAAAGCTTCTGCAACTTCAAAATTGACCAACCATATATCATTTTTTTCAAAAATCCTACCAAAATTTGAGTTCCTTGACCCCAAAAACCTTAAGAGTGACCCTCTTTCTGAATTAAAACTCAAGATCAATAAAACAAAGAAATTCAAGTTTGGTAAATTTCGGTTTTTCAGTTTTTTTGGCCACTTTCATCCACTCAAACTTTAAATTGGAGACATAAAAAAAATTATTGAGTTTCCATAAATATTACCCNAACAAAGAAATTCAAGTTTGGTAAATTTCGGTTTTTCAGTTTTTTTGGCCACTTTCACCCACTCAAACTTTAAATTGGAGACATAAAAAAAATTATTGAGTTTCCATAAATATTACCCAAGCCTTGATTATCAAATTTGAGCCTTGAATTCGGTAGAACCTCCACTTTCCTATACTTTCTCTCTCTAGTTTCTCTCTCCCCGATTCTCTGTTTTCACCACCGATTTGTGCATCTAAATTCAGTACCCAATCTCCATTTTTATGGACTCACAAAGCTTGGGGACCATGTTTGTGCTTGGCAATAGCCAAGTGGGTTGAATTTGAAGAAGGCACCTCCTAGTTGAAATTGGGATTTCCAATTAAACCCTTTTTTCCCAATTTCGAATTTCCTGTTTTTTAAATAGTTAATTACACTATGAGCATACCTATTTTGATGTAATTTCAAAATATATCTTCCTAATTTTTCGCGAATCAAATTTGACTAATCCTTCCAAATTAACTTTTCAGATCAAGTCTATTTTAATCTATTCGAATTAGTTAAACCTAATTACTTTAGTGCTAAAGATATATAGGAGATTACAAGAATATATCCTTCGTCTTCATCCAAGCTTGTAAAATCTCCAAGTTGGCATCAACCTTGACACAACACTAGCTGACCGGAGTGCAACTAAAAAATTACTATAGTGGGGGGAATTTTTAATATTATAAGACAACAAATTAAACTACTAATATATGCAAAAAACTTATGTACTGTTTGATAACACTTTTTACGTACTTTTAACTTTTTTTGTTTGTTTTATAAACTTTTTCTAGGTCCGTTTGTTTTTGTATATTTGCTTCTTTTTTTCCTTGTCTGAATTTACCACTTTCTTTCAAGTTTAGTCACATGTATAATAGTACGAGTTAAAGTAAATCCTAGGGCTTGAAAGGAGATGAAGAACATACAGAAGAAAGGGAGAAAGAGAAAGGAATAATCTATGTGTAGGATATGTTGTTCTACACTCTCCTATTTAAAATAAACTGATATTATGGGTAATTACATTATTACCCTACATTACTGGTAATNAGGATGATATAATAATCCTTTACCCGCTGCTTCTTTTAAATATAGAAAAATATGGTATGTAGTCTCCCAATGAGGTTTAACAAAAGCATGTATGAATTGACTAACCACAAAAATAGCATAGGTAATATCAGGACATATAACTGTAAGATAAATCAGTTTATCAACCAACTTCCTATAGCGCCTACATCATAAAAAACTTCGTTACTTTTAACATCTAACTTAATTGTGGGGTCTAAGGGAGTATCAATTGGACGGGCACCAACAGTGCCAATTTTAGGCAATAAATCCAATATTTGTAGGCATAAACTGATAACTTCCTTTGACCGAACAATCTCAATCTTAAAAAATACCGAAGAAAACCTATTTTTTTATATGAAACTACTACCCCAAATGGATCTTAACATAGGCAAGATCATCAGTCATTACCTCTTATGATAATACCATTAATATACACAATAAAAATAATAACACATGTGGAAGAATGACGATAAAAACTGAATTGTCTGAGGTGTAGCGCTGAGAACCATACTATAGTACAACAGTACTGAACTTATCAAACTAAGCACGTGGTGATTATTTAAGACCATTCAATGCTTTTTTCAGTTCAGACAACATACTAGTTGTGCCTTACCAAGTGTAACAAAACTTGGAGGATGTACCATATATACCTCCTATTATAGGTTTCCATGTAAAAAAAAAATTCTTAATATTCAACTGATATAAAGGTCAATCACAACTAATTGCAACTGAAATAAAAACTTTAACTGAGTTGAGAAAAACAACAGGGAAAAAATCTAACAGTAATCCACATCTTATGTCTAGGTGTAGCCTTTGGCAACCAAGTGGCTTTAAAATGCTCAAATGAACCATCAATATAACACTTCAATGTATAGACCCTACAACAACTGATTGACAACTTGGCAGAAGGAAGAGTAGTAAGATCCTATATCCGATTCTCATGAAAAACTTTTATTTCCTCATTCATAGTCAATTTTCAACCAGGAGATGTTAATGTCTAGTTCAAGGAGCTAGTAACAAATACAAAAGAAAGAGTTGATACAAAACAACGAAAGGAAAAAGAAAGTTGATAGTTGATAGTTGAGACATATAAACAAAATTAGAAATGAGATACTTAATACAGTTATGGATATTTGTCCTTAATGCGATAAGCAAATCAGAAGAAGATTAACTATATAACGGCTTAGAGGGCAAGACCTCGATAGAATCNGATATTTGTCCTTAATGCGATAAGCAAATCAGAAGAAGATTAACTATATAACGGCTTAGAGGGCAAGACCTCGATAGAATCAAGAGATAGTTGTGGAGTTGGAGCATATAGAATAACATGCCTATCATTGGAACAATGATAAACCAGCAAGAGAGGAGTAGTCGAAGAGGGAAAAGATACATTGTCTAGTACAATAGGCAACAAGATCTCCCTTGACTAGCATACTAAATATGGGAAAGAGGATGTCCTAACGCAAAAAAGAAGATGACTCAAAAAATGTAGCATCAACACTCACATAGTATCAACAAGAAAGAGGGCATAACAACGATAATCTTTTTCAATGCGAGAATATCCCAAAAAGAAATACTTGATAGAGTGAGACGAAAGTTTATCCCAACCCAGACCAAGAAGATAAACAAATGCAACAACACCAAAAAAATAAGGAATGCGACCAAATGACAGTCTATCATGATAGAGTAAAGAGAAAGGAGACTTGCTGGCGAAAATGGGGGAAGGCGCGATGAATAAAATAAACTAAACTAAAGAACAACATCAGTCCAATATGGTTTTTGCACATGCATTTTAAATAGTAAGGTAATTGAATTGTGAAGTTGTTAGGGTTAGAAGAAAAAGAGAAGAAAGAGAAAAGTATGAGAAGAGAGTAGTGTGTTAGGTCAACAACTACCCCCAAACTTATATATATGCAAAGTACAAGAATACCCTAAACCTAAAAATAAAGCATAACTAACGATAACTCCCGTTTAGTTTGTATTTCAGAAACTGTTTTTTGTTTTCAGAAACAATTTCTAGGAAAAAATCTATTTAGTTAATTGTTTTTTGTTTTTATTTTTTAAAAATTGAGAACAAAAATTGAGTAAATTTAGAGAACAAATTAGAGCAGTTTTATGNTTGTTTTTTGTTTTTATTTTTTAAAAATTGAGAACAAAAATTGAGTAAATTTAGAGAACAAATTAGAGCAGTTTTATGTGTTTTTTGAAACAACATTTTTAGAATTGAAAAATCACCACCACCACCACCACCATCACCATCACCACNTGTGTTTTTTGAAACAACATTTTTAGAATTGAAAAATCACCACCACCACCACCACCACCATCACCATCACCCTTCCACCAATACCACCACACTTCTATCACCACACCACCACTACATTTCTATTTTTATTGTTTTCTGGGTTATTGTTCAAACAAATTTTACTGTTTTCTATTCTGTAGAACTGTTTTTAGAATTATAGAACCAAACAAGTTCTACGACACAAAAAATACCAAAAATA